CACATTTCCAAGGGGGGTAACAGTGCTCCCCCAGCTCGGCTACATCTGCGTACACGAGCGGTTAAATTAGACTCTAATTGTATTAACGGGGCATTATGCTTTCCAGTTGGATTTTTTATACTCTCTCTCTCTGTGCATTTTACACATTTTAAGGGGAGAAAGGAGGAGGGGGGGAAAAAGCAGCTCATTGAGGGTTTGCGGGTTGGCTTCTTTTATGAGCTGCGATCACGGCTGCCCCTCGTTACACTGAGTCTGTGTACAAATAGGAGGGGAGGAGAGCCAGAATGAGCGAGTGTTAGCGATAATGTGCACGAGAGTGTATATCCCAGTCTGCCAGGCTAATATACCGATGCTAACACTCTGAATGCCAAACCCCCCTGCCCTTCCTTTCTACACACTCACACACACACACACACACACACACACCCCTACTTCAGTTTAGCAAGCAACAATCTAACCGGGGATACGGGTGGTGTGTGTAGTAGGGAGGCGGGGGTGAATTCCATCTAATTACTCTATCACATAATTTCACAAATTGCCTTTTCATAGGGGAGTGGAGAGCAGAGCAGAGCACAGGGCGCGTTGGGGATTTGAGGCCTGAGCTTTCATTTACTACTCATTTCTTGTTAAATTAAACAAGAAAATACCATTTGTGAGGAGGGTGGGGCACAGGGGTGGGTAGTGTGGGTCGGGGTAGGTGTTTTCCAATAGCACAATAGGAGGGATGGAGGAAACAGAGATTGGTTACTACTTCTCCATCTCAAGGCCTGTCACTTTGGTAGTAACACAAAGCAACATGGTAGCTCAGCCAGTTGTGTAATCAGTTTAGAATTTATTCTACAATGTAAATTATTTAGTTAAACATATATTTTCTTGTTATTTCAAGGGGGAAATTATTAGCACACTTTAGAGCAATATCTATAAGTTTAAACACATCCTCACTGATGTCATGCAGATATAAAGGTGAGTTTGTCAACTGGACAAATGGATTTTAACAGATTACTTTTGTCAAATGACTCATTCAATTAGTCAGTTACACCAAATGACTGCTAGTAGTCACAACATATGTTTGATTAAGGATGTCAGTGGAAAACAAACCTCAAAATGAGATGAGGACAGAAGTGGAAAAGCCCTCCCCTCTCCTTTATTTTGGTTCCCCACCAAGTTTACAGCTGCATGTCAAGCTGGCAACAAGCTGCATGGTTCAGCCGTTGGTGACAGGCGGTAAACGCTAATGGTTTGTAGTCGCTCCAAGACAGGGCAGCCAAATTCTTCCGATGAACTTGTCCCACAAGCGCTGTCGACAACATATGAGCTCACTGGGTGTGTTGGAGAGAACTCAGCGAGCTGCGACTGTTGTCATCATCACAAATTCAGTACAACTGCTCTATCTGTCACTCTACCTATCACACAACAGAAAGAAGCATATTTTCTTCTGAATTCCCATTTATTCACCTGTACTTTCCTGGCCTTGAATTGTCACCTTTCACAGGGGACTGTGGCATTGACCGTGGTGCTGATGATACAAGCAATTTAGGGAATTCTAACTTTTGCTACTGTTCGTGAACATGCTTATAGCAAGCATCCCTTTTCCTCCAAGACAGTGGAAATTATCATCCATGATGGATGAAGTAAGCAGAGATGCAGAAATGTCTTCAAAACAACCCTAAGAACAGCTAAATGAATGCCACCTACCACGTACCCTGCCGGTGCACTTGCAGCCTCAGTTTGCCACCCACCTTCCCCTCCTGCACGATGGGAACTCCCCTGAGGGTCCAAGTGTGCGGGCGAATAACAGAAAATACACCAAGGTGGGCATCCAAACTTCTACCCTATTCTGTTCGATGTATTTTGTTCTATTCAGTCCCATTGTCTCTCCAATGTCAAATTTCTGCATATTTATTATACTTTAAATAACAGACCCTGACTCCCTTATTCTGGTTTCTGTAGGGCCAATGCACTCTGCCATGAATGTGTGTGTGTGTGTGTGTGTGTGTGTGTGTGTGTGTGTGTGTGTGTGTGTGTGTGTGTGTGCGCGCGCATGCATCTGCGTCTGCCTAATTGGCATTGTGTCTATCTCTAAGACACCAGACTCACATCCTCCATCCCTCTGTGAAACAAAGGCAGACCAGCTGATGATGCTGTGGATGATCCTGGATCAGCTGTCCATGTTTATGAGAGGCATACTGCCAATGTAAGAGATACTGTAAATGTTTTTCCACTAGAGGTGCTATGTGTAGCATTTATAAACACGGACATATGGTGATTAAATTAATGGTGACACTAAAGCATGATTACTGTAAACAAATGAGACCACTGCGAGCATTTATCTGACACCAGTGGTATTGTTAATGCCAGTGTTTCTCAAAATTAAGACCACATTTCCCATAAACAAAGAAGATGTTGCTCCTCTCTGCCTGGGTTTCATTAACATTTAACTATTTGGGTTTACTGAAGAGGATAAACATATTGGAAGTGATTTTTCCATCAACTTTTCAGTTCACTTCACAGTTCTGAAAGTTTTTCTCTCTTTGCACTGCAGGACCAGCAGCTTCTTCCTGTTTTGTGCCATAAAACAATGCAACCGATGTGCCATGGTGTGCCTGTGTGTGTGCATGTTTTAGTTCCTCTTTCTCTTTTGCCTGGGAGAAGGAAAAGGTTGATGTATCCTCCTTATCCCCCTCTTCACCTCTTTGCCTTCTCCTCTCTTCTTCCTCGCTCCCTTGACACTCACTTATATCCTTCCCACTGTTTGAGATCTAACGGTGCAGAAGCCTCCCATAAGCCCAACTCATGGTGTAATATGACACAGTAGGTGTGTTGCTGTGTGTGTGTTTCACAAGGCGCGCATGTGCTGGACCATATTTCCACAGACAGGATGTGTGCATGTTTTAAACACCTTTCCTCTGTAGCCCCAAAGGTTTCAGGGAGTGTATTGGTTCAGGTCAGGGAGTTGGAGGAGAGGTTAGTGTGTATGTGTGATGATGATGCGCGTGTGTGTGTGTGTGTGTGTGTGTGTGTGTACGTGCGTGCGTGTTCAGGGTGATGGAGAACTGGTGGTTTGTGAAGGAGGTGGTGGGGGTCAGATGGAAAGGGAAACAAAAAATATAAGAAGCCTTGAGGGATGCGTGTATATCTATTCTGTGTACAGATACACAATATCTCTCTGCCTACAAGCCTCACAACAGCATACGCAATGAAAGAAGTTCCACCGATTTGCCATTAACATTGTTGGAAGCAGAAGAAGAAACTGTACAGTGCATACAATCAACATCAACGACAGGCTGCAAATAAATAAATAAAAAGTGGAGCCCATGCAATATCCACAATCCAACAACAAAATTACTTCCCCCAGCATCCTCCCTGTTGGCTTGTGCAATTCAAACCAACACCCACTCAGCCAAAGTGTATCGTGTTCTTCACAAACTCCTGACATAGGCGGAATGTGTGTGATGCAAGGCTGGCTGAAGTTAGTTTTGAAACATATTTACTTAACATAGCAGTAGATTCATATTGTATTCAGGAATTTGACTCAGTCCAACAATAAAGATGCCAGTTTTTAGAGCTTTTGTTAAAAATTGCTTTACACATAACCTCCATCTGCGATGCAGTTACACTTAATGTCCTGTTTGTATGTTTAAAACATAAACCTTTTGACATAATGCTAGCCTGATGTTCAGCCTGAATTGCCATTTTGTTTTTATCTGAATCACTGAGCGGTGAATCAGAGATCTGAAACCTGTTGTAGTTTGAAACATATCAGGTAACAGTCTCTGGAAAGTCTCTGTAATATGTTTTCTATGCTATTCAAAGCCAATTTCTCAAACTAAACACAGCTAAACTTTTCACTCACTTGGTTATTTTTAAATGACTTCACCTAAGCTGTAGAAGGATAGAGTTTTTTCCACCTTTAAAACTTCCATTTGAACAGTGTTATTATCGTTCTTGATGATGATGATAAACCAGACAATTTTACCAAAGGGATCAATAAATGTTTTGGTATATATGTCAGCACAGAACATGCAACAAAATTTAGAAGACTGAATATGGGCAATAACAGATTACCAAATTAACTTAATTGCTGAAATAAGAAGAATATCCCTAGTCTGAGTCAGTGAGCTTTTCACTCAAGCTGAAACAGGGCACAATGGAGCCTTAATGGAGCCACTGGTGCAAATTCTGTATTCGCTAATACTGAAGAGTTTGCCTCGATCTTATAAGAGGCCCCATAAACTACAGTATACCTGTTATTTAACTTAACAAAGTCTTTTATTTATTTTTTCCTTCTTTCCTTTGGTAAGTATTGTGTCTAGCAATGCTAGACATGATGATGGCTGGTGAAATGATTGTGTTTGACATAATAGAAACTTGTGTTAAATAAAACAGCATTGTATTTACTGTTAGCTCTGTTTGGTCACATACATCCCAGTGTCAAAATAAATTTTTCCCCACACTATTTTCCCCCAAACAATTCGTGACGATGTCAGCTGGTGCTAACAGCATGGATATTCCCTGCTATAATGGAGTAAAAATAAAGCCAAACCACAGGCCTTTGCAGCATCCCAGGCATCTGTTAAATAATGACAGATTTGTTCTTAATAAGGTTCATCTATGTATCTGCAGTTATGGCCAGGGGCGTCTCTCCACGGCTTCAACCTTATTCGGTTTCAGCATATGAGGAGCGAGAGCGCAGGCTGCCGAGATCGCCGGCAGATTACACATGCCTGTGTCTTTGAAGTGTTCACCGTACGAACCGGGATACATTGTGGCGAAGAAGGGGGCTCTGGGGGTGTGTATGTGAGTGTCAATGAGTGTGTCACTGACTGAGTGTGTGTGTAAGTGTATTTGTGTCAAATAAGACAGGAGCAGAGCTAGAAAGATAGAAAGTGTTGTGTGTGTGGAAGACTAAGAAAGCCTGTGGCTGTGAAGTGAAGTTCACAGTGCACACGTGATATAAAACTGAGAGCGACTGAGAACAAATGCTGTTTCATTCAACTCACTGTTAGGTGCTGGAAGAGCCATGCTCTCATAATGTTGGTGGCCACCTTAGGGAAGATTCCTCTCTTCTTGTTGCGTTTCTTTTCTTTATCCGGGTCATCATCATCCCCTGTGCTCGGTGATGCCACGCTGTTGTCCAGGCCATCACCTGTCACATGACAACAAACAGGAAGAGACAGCAGAGATCAGACACACACTTTGTTTACTTCCTGCATTCGCTGCGCCTCTGCGTTCAAAAGGAATAAATACGATTTCGAAGGAATTCTGGAGGGCTTTGTATGCATTGACGGAGGGGTATAGAGACACAACAATGGCAAGCAGAGAATGGCTGGAAAACAGCACCTCATAAATGCATTCATTTTTAATACATTTATAAATAACCCTGCCTTTCATTTTCCTTCCCCCGCCACTTGAAAACACAGCATGCGCTCGCATCTTTCTGTGAGAAAGAGAGGGAAAAGGGGAGCACAAAGGACTTGTAAGGTCGCATTTCCCCACTCTCCCATCCAAGCCTACGCAGAATTGAAAATGACAGAGAGATTTAGTCTTTATTATCCTGAGGGGAAAATAGTTATTGAAGCGTCGCCCCGGCGCATTCTGCCATTTTACCTGAGGTGGAAAGAGGAACACGGCACTACAAAAGGGGAGGTGGCAGGGAGGGGGGAGGCAGAAAATAAAAGAAAATAGGTGGAAAAAAGGAAGTCAGAGGCACAAACAGCGTTAACAAAGCTAGCTGCTTTTCATAACAATGGCGTCATGGCTGCTTACAGCAACCTGTAGGGCTTCGATAAGGCTCTATTAAGGCCAGTTAACCTCACCTAAGGGGAACACTGAGACAGCTTAGAGTATTTGAGCACTGAGAGGAAAAGTGAAAGGAAGGGCCTTTTCTCTGCATTCAGACTCCGCTACATGAACCCGTAGACACACACACACACACACACAGACACACACACACATATTCAAAACTACCCAATTACTGTACGTATTCTATACAGCTCAAGTGGAGAGAAAGAGGCTTCTCATCTATGGGGGTGAAAAGCCTAATTGTTATTATCATTATTCAAAAATGCGAGCAACCCTCAATGAAGACGATAATCATAAAAGAAACATGAGGCGAGGTACACAAGTGGCGCCCTCACTGCTAGAAATTTCAGTGACTGATAACTGACTTTTGTCCTATTCTGCCTCTCTTGACTGGAGGTGAAGGGAAGGAGAGAAGAAAAAAAATAGAAATACAAAAATCGCTGAAGCAGTGCAAAGAATTGGATCCAGTTATTTATTGATTACACACAAAGCACTTCTAAAGCTTCTAGGTCTATTCACTGTGGCGGGAGTAGATAACTGCATTCGAGCGGGCCCGCACTCCACTAACTTGCAGAGGGCGACACCCAGCACCTAGCTAAACCCTAAGCCCCAGATTCATCGATAATTAATGGGGATGTTGGCGCTAATCCGGTTGGAGATGACTTTTTTCCAGCCTGCCACATCAATGGAATAATCAAGGGCCTAAAACCCAGGCCTTTGCTCCCCATTACCTCAGGCAAAAGAATTCCTGAAAGCATGCCTAGAGGGCACCTGAATTATATACACCATTAGGAGAGAGAGGCTCTCAACGATCCATACGAAACAACACTCTTGGCTAGCTCTCACTCTCTCCCTCCAACTGTTCTGGCAGAAGGAGATACATATGCACGCATATTGAAGGCTTTCTAATGAACCTCATGTGGAAGCGGAGGTGACGCTATGGAGGGTGGGGGAGGGATATAACAAGAGCTTGCTTTTCATAGATGGTGCGATACTGATGCCAACAGCACCCACTGCACATTAATAATGCACATATACATGAGAAGCTGGTGGTGGGGTTGGGCTAGTAAGACCACCAAAAGGTCAAATGTTGGATTCAGGTATGAGCCACGTGGCTGGTTGAAGTGCCTTTGAGCACTACACACTTTAATCTTCTACATTCAACTATGCAATCATGTTTTTTTCTGATTAATCAATCAATTGATTAGCTTTAAAAATATCAGAATATTTTTAAACCCCTCACAATTTTCCAGAGCCTAAGGCAACTTTGTCCAAAATGCACATACTGTATGATCTGTTTACAAAGATGTAAAAACGGCAAATCCTTCAATCTGAGAGCAGGACTTAGTGAATCCTTTTTTTTTCTTGATAAACAACTTAAACAATTAATGAATTATTGTTTTGCTGACTTACTAATCCATTCATTGATTAATCGACTAACCATTTCAGCCACACACTCATACAAACCCACACACAGACTCACACTCACTCAGACAATGTACCCCTTAGACCCAGCTCATAGATTTCTCTCTGTCTAAAAAACACACTTACATTGCGAGCTTCAGTTACATCATTAGCGCCGGACACATGCAGCCTAAGCTTAACAAGTGAGCTTTTTCTGCTTACTGTTTCAGGGCTACAATACACCCACCCCTCTGTCTCTCTCTTCTCTTTTCCTCTCTACGTCTCTCTGCCTGGTGGAAAAGAGGGGTGAGCCGAGCCGAGGCCCTGTAATCTAAGACCAGATTTTTTCATTGGAAGCAAATGCTTTCAATCCGTTGTAAAGACCGGCTCATGTTCAGCAAAGCCTACAATAACAAACCTAGGGGCTTGTCCCATGCGAGTTAGGAAAACAGAAGCAAACGGCCAGAGTACCAGCTCAGAGCATGACTGAGTGAGTGAGTGAGTGAGTGAGTGAGTGAGTGAGTGAGTGAGTGAGTGAGTGAATATGCATGCAAGTGAGAAAGTGGGGGAGAGTAGGCGAGCAGGCAGGCTCAGGAAGAGGTGAGAAATCGTGAGAAGCATGGAGAGGAGTAGAGGGGAAAGACAGATAGGGAAACAAGGGAGAGAGAAAACACAAAGAGGACAGAGAGCACACAGAATAAGTAATAAAAGTGTGAATGATTAGAGAAAACTGTCACGACAAATTGCACGATTCAGGGTGAGTTGCCTGTACTCTTTTGCTACAGTTTTGTGTTATCTGATCTAAGCTGAACCCTCTTTGATCACAAGGCTTCTTCTTATGTAGTACTTTTATATAGTACTGTCTATGTTTTTATTTGTAACCTTTATTTAACAGGGATCACTGTACAATGGTTTCTTTTTCGGGTGTTACCAGTGATCGACCTGGTAACCTTCAGCTCACAAACCCGCTATCCAACCTTTAGGCTGCCAATGTCCCATATATACACAATATCATATGGCACAATATCAGCTATAGTTTACAGTACTGCATCATATCTGTCTGTATATGGTGAATAAAATGGTATGAAAGCAGCAACTACAATCTTTAAGCCATATTAATGAAAATATAAAATAACCCCATAGATCTCTAGCTAGTCAAGAATTAATCACATACCAAAATGATGCCTAATGTGAGAAAAGTAGGCTGCATTCCATCTCTGCCCATATCATATAGATGCCAACAGAGCACAGAAACACTACCTGTGTTCATGTCAAATGTACCCAAGATCTACACAAAACATTTATATAAAATGAATGATGAGGAAACAGAAATTGAATTGATACCTATTTTACAGATTTTAGACACAGAGGGGAACCCTAACCCCTCCCAGTATTGCTTTCTTTCCTCTCCTTTCTCAATACTTCTAAGTAATTCTGACCTATAGACACTTACTTTACCTAGAGGGAGGAAAGGAAAGAGGAGGGCGGGAGAAGGGGCGTCAATTTTATTGGCATTTCCATTTTCACTGCAATTTGATACCAATCACCTCTGCAAGGTCTGGGGCTAATTTCTGCTTTGCTTTAGCCCCAGCAAGCGAGGGAAGAGTGGGAAGTGGGAGGAGAGACAAGAGAGAGACTGTTGGAGTGAGGAAGAGTGAAGCCGCAAAGGTGTTGAAGCTGTGTCTGGCAGCCATGTTGGGGAAATGTCAATGGTGTAACCTCAGCTTTTGGGGGGGATATTGAGAGAGAGAGAGAGAGAGAGAGAGAGAGAGAGAGAGAGAGAGAGAGAGAGAGAGAGAGAGAGAGAGAGAGAGAGAGAGAGAGAAAGAAACAGGAAAAGAAAGCGAATGAGAGATGGTGAAGGAGGATTAGAAGAGAAGGAGAGGAGGAACAGATGTGGAATATTCAGTGAGAAAAGAGAGAAGAAAAAGCCATTGAAGGGGGAGAAAATAATGGATATGAGAGGGAAGAGATGCCGTGTTGCACGCTGGAGATAATCAAGTGAAAAAAAACAGACACAGGGCAGTCAGTCGGGCCGTGTCCACTGTAATGCAGACAATTATTTTCTCTAGCTTGGCCGTTGAAGCTGACTGCTGAAAACATGCTATGTGTAGCATGTATATGCAATTGGAGCATCTTTTAAATGTTGTTTAAAACATCAAGTTCAAAAGAACAAGGGAATCTTGATTTGGAGACACTTTCTGTTGTCCAAGTTTGCTCTGTCATCAAAGAGAGCAAAACATGCAACACACACCGGCAGCTCACATGGCATTGCATTGTTTACACTCATTAACTAATGCATATAGCATGCGTTGAATGCACCTTACAAAAAGAAGACACAGTCAAGTAGCTGAGACAATCTGGAAGTAAGTAGTATGTAGTAAATATTATGCAATTGCTGCCTTTCTGAGAGTTGTAGCCACCAGTCAGCCAGTAAGCTAGGGCTACATAAAAAACAATGAGTGCAGGTGTTTGGATGTGTGCATACTCCACTGATATGTATTGCCCTTAAAGCTGATGGCTCAAGCATCTCGGGCATAGACCGGATTTAAAAATGTTGTACTCTTTTGTGGTTTCTGTGGGGATCACTAGTATTCTTGAATGGGCAGAAAACTTCTGACATGCAAGCAGCAATTTCAAATTTATGTGCGTAAGTGTAAAAATGGTCTCACACATGACGTCACGGCCACTTCGTTGTTAAGCCAATAATAACTTTAGTCAGTCAGTCAAGACGTTGTCCACTCGGTTGTCCATTCAGTCAACCAGTAAGTTATCTAGTCAGCCAGTAAGGTAGTCAATCTACAAAGCCACCAAGTATGCCAGTCATAAAGCAACCATGTCAGTCAGTCTGTTGGCCAGTCAGTCAATCATCCATCCATCAACCATTCACTCATTCGGTCAGAAAGCTAGCCAGGGAGCTAGTAAACCAGTCAGCCAATG